CAGACACAGGGACCCTATGGACACAGGGACCCTATGGACATAGGGACCCTATGGACACAGGGACCCTATGGACATAGGGACCCTATGGACACAGGGACCCTATGGACACACGGACCCTACAGACCCACAGACACAGGGACCCTATGGACACAGGCAACCTATGATCTTGTGGAGCCACGGACACAGGGACCCTGTGGACACAGGGACCCTATGGACAGAGGGACCAATGGATATAGGGACCCTATGGACCCACGGAGGCAGGGACCCTATGGACATGGGGACCCTATGGACATGTGTACTCTATGGACACAGAGACGCAGGGATCTATGGATACACAGATCCCATGGGCACATGGGATCACTGGGGTTCCTGGGACCCCTGGGGTTACTGGGATCGCTGGGATTCCTGGGAGCACTGGCGTTCCTGGGGTCACTGGTGTCAGCAGCATAGGGGTTACTGGGAGCACCGGGGCTGGTGACACTGGGATTATTGGGAGAACTGGGTTGGGGGACACTGGGGGTACTGGGATTCCCGGAAGCACTCGAGTTCCTGGGAGCACCCGGATCACTGGGGTTCCTGGGATTCCCGGGATTCCTGGAATCACTGGGATTCCTGAGGTCACCGGGGTTCCTGGGATCACCGGGGTTCCCAGGAGCACCCGGATCACTGGGGTTCCTGGGATTCCCGAGATTCCTGGGATCGCTGGGATTCCTGGGATCATTGGGGTTCCTGGGAGCACCGAGGTCACTGGGGTTCCTGGGATTCCCGGGATTCCTGAAATCACTGGGATTCCTGAGATCACCGGGGTTCCTGGGATCACTGGGGTTCCCAGGAGCACCCGGATCACTGGGGTTCCTGGGATTCCCGGGATTCCTGGAATCGCTGGGATTCCTGGGATCACCGGGGTTCCTGGGCTCACCGGGGTCCCCAGGAGCACCCGGATCACTGGGATTCCTGGGATTCCAGGGAGCGCTGGTGCCGGCAGCACGGGGGTTACTGGGAGCACCGGGCCGGGCGCCGCGTCCCCCCCGCGCGTTGTGTCACCGCTCTGCTATGGCAGCTGGACCCCACA